CTATTTTGCTATTTTTGCTATTTTAGTTAGCTATTTTTGCTAGCTATTTTGACTATTAATAGCTGGACACTCTGCTATGTATGCAATGACGCATTTCTTTAAAAATAACCTGCTTTCTTTTAATTATATAACCCCTAGTCTGGGGCATTGTTGTTTTAGAACATGATTCAAATTCTAGAAACCATTTGTATGCCTTCTCTTCATTATTAACATTCACGAAATCAAGTTCGAATTGTGGTATTTCAAAGTTTTCAGGTGTCCAGTAAGATGACAATTTTTTAAAACCTTTGATTGAATATAAATATTGTTGTGGGAGCATTGCTTTTAACATTTCAGGTAGGGAATTCTAATTATTATTAATTTTTTTTTTGAAATATTATCAAAAAAAAATTAAGTCAAATCGGCAAAAAAAAAAAAAAAAACCCTCCATTTTTCATATCAAAAAAGTTCGCTTAATCCATAAAAAAAAAAACGAATAAAAAATTTCATTCATTCATTAACATCAAAGTCGGTTGAATTAATTATAAGTATTTAATACTCGTATATAGCGATATCGTTAAAAAAAACCCCCTCATTCGTTAAAGAGGATATTTATCAAAAAAATTTCTTGTTCGTCAAAATAATTCCATGTACAGTACCAACATCAGTTCTTTATGCTCAAAATATCGTTATTAACTGCACTCAAAGTTCATCCTTACCATTTTTGAAATTTCGTTAACGTTATGCAGAAAAGAGTATGAGAAAATCCAATAAGGTAATATTATCGATTAGTATGGAAAAATTTAAATTATAGTAATAAAAAAGGTAATTATAGTGATAATGATAAGTAAAGTACGTACGTACGATACGTATTAACTATGTAGTACACTGTAAAAAGTTTATTACGTATTCTGCATAATCGTTATTGTTTGATCATTGTGGCTTAGGCCAACTGCGCCATAAACCTAGCACACATTCAAGGGATGCGACTCATTGAGACTGCGCCATCAATTAATTGAGTTCAAAAAATTGCCAACACAATCAATTATTCGAATTACCCTTATCTACCTTACATTTTAACATTCTGATATAAATCGAATAACTTCTAATATTTTTTGCACTTTATATTTGTACAAAAAAAAATTCTTTGTTTCATATAATATAATATTATATTACTGTAGCGACTGGCCTTATTATAACTCCATTATTAAAAATATTTTGTCTTAATGCCGGTCAACCTTTTATAATTCAGGCCAGCATTAGCGCTATATATTTGTAACTTACATTAACATGTAACTTATGTTGCAATTTACAATGTAAGTTTAGTGTTAGGTAAGTTATCCCAACCCTACACCCGAGGCATAACATATACATCGATCAGGAACGACTAAATTCTGCGCGTGTTTAAGACAAATTCTGTGATTTAATGTGATGTGATTAAGGTAAATTCTGTGATTTAATGTGAAACTTTTTACTAATTCTGTGATATAAAATAAAAATTTTATTTATGAATCATGTAATCTAATTTTCAATGCCATAAGGATTCCGCAACTTTCCGATGAGCATGCTCATAATATGTATTTATTTTCTACTTTCCGGGTTTCCTGATGCCGGCCTAAATGTATAATCAAATCTTTGCGATATTTAAAATTCTGATATTTTTGGAATTCTGTGATGTTTTGCGGTGACTAAGAGTGATTTCTGTGGTTGGCTGTGATTAAGAGAAATCCTGTAGCTATCTGTGAATCACAGAAAATCATCGTCCCTGTCCTAGCGTTACTACCCTCCAATCGATTAGTTGCCAACTATAGTTGTAACTAATCGATTTTTCCTATAATGTGACTAAATTTGTCGATTGGCCAATCAAACTAAGAAAATCAACACGAACCAGCCCGAATAGACGGATATCTCGGAATTTAACTAGTTGATGATTTAATCGATTAGTTGTTTCAAAATTTTCCAAATCGATTAGTTGGAAAGTTGTCAATTAGTTGGTTTTTCAACTAACGATTTGGATCACTACCTCCAGGTTTTGTAACAAACTGATCCAATTTGAACAAACTTTCTTTCTATTTTGTAGAGCTTAATGAGCTTCTAAAAAAAAAAGTTTATTCAAAATTGGAGTTTCGAAGGAGCGATCGTTTAGCCCAACAAACAATATAACTAGATAAAGGTCTGACCAGTATTAAAAAAATAAGATTTTTCACGCAACATTTTATTATTCTACAATACTATCTATAGCATTAGACGATTGAAGATTTTCACATTTTTCTATAGCAGAAGCCAAAACTTGAGATCGAAACGATAAGCCTTTTGTGCGTTCAATAACTTGTTGATAGATTGATGTATGATTTTGATTCATGATGACAGTATTCTATAATAAAATAATTTAAAATAAGAGATATATTATCAATTGATTAACAGGTTAAAACTATAACTTTAAAAAAACTAACCTCTTTAAAATCGATCTTTGCATCTACACGCGTATCACGAATTAAATTAACAATCCACTTTTCACCTTCTTCTTGGCCTAAATTAAGTGTCTGTGACAACCCGCTATTAAAAGTGAAATAGGTCATAGGTTAGAATCAATGATCATTTGATAAAGTATATAAAGATAGATCAAATAGTCCAAACCCAATGTCGATCTTCAAATGTATTCGGCAATAAGTCTCAGAAATCAAATATCGCGCATTTTCAATGAATTCCATCTTTGTAGCGACAAGGAAAAAATCGTTAGACAGTACTTCTTCACATTCCTTTAATTTATGTTGTGCACCTTCGAAATCGAATTTAACATATAAACTCTCAATAAATTCAGTGATCGGATCTCTATATTCATAACTCTCTTGTTGAATTATTTTTATTAGATCTTTTAAAATATTTTTGCGGCGTTTGTTGGTGACAACAGCAGTTGTAAGATATCGGAGGATCCATGGACATGACGTTTGGATAGTATTAATGTATGAAGGATTGAAAAATACATCAATGATGCTATCCCGTCCTTTAGGATGGTTAAAGAATACAAAAATAGACCAATGAATAAACCATGTGCGTTGTTGTAGTTGATGCAGAGGAGATGCAAAGCTCTAGATTAAGTGATAAGTGTTATCAATAAAGGAGAAGTTTAAACTTAAAATCTAGCCTATTACCTTTGAATCAATAGTTTCTCTCAGTTTTTGAACCTCTTCCAAAGCAGCATCCCAATTAAGATCCAAGATATCTGATGCGAGCTTTCCCCATAAAGCTGATAAATTGAGCTCATGATCAGTGGACTAAAAAAGGAAGAAAAATTGGTATCAGTCGCTTATATGACCACAATTATGCCTAGCCAAAATTGTGACGTACAAACCAATACTCGAAAATGATACAACATGTCAGAAGCACCACCATAGTTGCCACAATTATATTGAAATTGACCAAATTGATAAAGCGTGTTAACCATTTCATCTGTAAGCTGTAGAGACCAAAGAAACAGTAGTTGTAGCGCAATAAGTTGGAGTTTACATTTAAAATAATATTCACTTTACCCCATATTTTTCTTTAAGAAAATGCAAATTTTGAAGTTTATCCTGACGAAGAGCTGTGATTACTTCGGGATTCTCGATAATATCTAAAACTTTTTGAGCCTCAGTTTGAAGGTTTTCTAATGTTTGAAGAACTTCCTGCCTTTTTGAGGCGAATTCTGAGAATGCAAAAATTACATTCTTAATTATCTATAACATTCTTAATTATTTATCATTACACGAGTGTCCATAGATCGCATAATATACCTGAAGGAACTTCGTCTGTGTCATGAATTTGTTTATATAATTCAGAAATAAAGTCCACCATGTTTGTCTTGGCCAAGAGTTCATATTTAGCTTTAAGTAGATCATGATTCGGATAGATCTGGTTTTAAGGGTCAAGAATTGTAATAAGTTTTGAAGTAGAAATGAAAAATAAAGATCCCAACGAAATCAACCTTATTCAAAGACAAAAATTCCAATAGGGGAAAGACAAGATGCCTATCCATATAAGGGATCATTCGAGGAATCAGATCGTAAGAAGCCATTGCGAGTCTGATTTAGTAACAAAGTTTAAAGGACCCTTAACGTTAAAAATTTTTTTTGCGATTATCCTACTTAGCTCTGAGTCAAAAAAAAAAAAAATGCTACTGGATAATCTCAAAATATGATAATTTTTTGCCATATAAATTTAGTTTTCTTAATATTAATTTTTTTTCCTCTTTTGATCCGTCTATCTAGACATCATTGTCTTGGTAAGTATTTTTTCATAATTACATAAAATATATTTCTTGGGCTCATGAGCTCGTAATTTCAGTTGAAGATTAGTACATTTTAAGTTAACCGAAACTATGCCACATTATTTGATCTAAATTTTATGAAAAGGATCATACTTGATTAAGCAGAATTCTATAGAATGTTAATGACGTTCAATTTTTTCAGCTACCAAACTAAATGAAATGTATTAATGAATTTATTGCGTTTTTCCGCAGTGGCGAAATGGCACACGCTCCGCGTAATAGATTTCTTGTACCTGGAATTCCGCGCTATTCTCGTAGCGCAGTTTATGCTAAGAAAGCTTTATACAAAAAAAACAGGAAAGGAACTATTAAAAAAGCTGAAGTCGAACAGCAAACCACTAAAAAAGTCCAATACAAAGATGGACATCGTATTGTCCCATTGGAAAAAGCACCACGTTTTTACCCCGCGGAAGATACTCCACGTCCTAAGAAATCTCGTAAAGTTAACAAACCTACTAAACTTCGTGCCTCCATTACCCCTGGAACTATTCTTATCTTGTTAGCTGGTCGTTTTCGTGGAAAGCGTGTCGTTTTCTTAAAACAACTACCTAATGGAATGCTATTGATAACTGGACCGTTTAAAATCAATGGTGTTCCATTAAGACGTGTTAATCAAGCCTTTGTTATTGCTACTTCCACAAAAGTTGATATTTCTGCATGCTCGGTAAAACCTGACCTACAAGTTTTCGAGAACAAAACCAATTTTAAATTGCTGACATATTATAATTTAAATTCCATAATAGCTTGATAAATTTGATGACGCTTATTTTAAGAGAGAGAAAGGCAGTAAAAAAGTTACCGAAGAGGAATTACTCGGCGAGAATCAAAAGGTAAACAGTTTTAAGTCTGTCACACATTATTATAGCATAAATATAACTGGGTTTCTTTTTAGCCAAAAAAAACAGTATCTGAAGCGAGGGTTGCCGATCAAAAAGAAATCGATAGCAAGGTTATCGCTGGACTGAAGACTCCCCATATCAAAGATTATTTACACTCCAGATTTTCTCTCTCAAAAGGTCAATTCCCTCATACATTAGGTTTCTAATATGGTACAGGATCAAAATCCAAATAAAGGCTATTATTACATGTTTCTGAATATTTTGCGACTTATGCTTGAGTGATGAGAATGGGAAAATTGTTGTTAATAAAGACAAGAGCATAATTCTCACGAATATTTAAAAAAAAAATTACTACTCTATCATTTACTGAATTGATTATTTTAATATAAACTGTGGCATTAAGTTTCATTAAATTTTATTTATGGTACCTCATTTGGCTTTATATGATGCCAAAGTAATAGATTATCAACTTAACTCCATTTCAAATTTAAACTTACTAATGCCTGCACACGTATTTTGTCACGAGTTAGAATTCAAATCGCTCTTCCGAGATCGAACTCTGGAATGATTGATTTCTGCTAACAGGCATAGAACATCTTTCTTAGAATGTCAATTATAATAAATATTATAGTAAAAACATATTAAATTACTATAAAATTTGAGCTAAAGGTCTTTTTCAACTTAACTAAGTAACTTAAAATTAAAATTGTGATTATATAAAACAAAAGAAGAAAAAATTTAGCTTAAAAATTAAGTTAAAATTTTGTTAATTTTGTTTATTTTAAAGATGTAACTTTTTCAAAAATAATTATTTTCCAATTTTAAAATGATTATTATATATAATATTATATGCTGAACAATTTTATTTAAAAGGCAAAAGTAGGTTACTTTAGCATAAAAATAAGTTAGCTTTGTATTAAAGATAAATATTTTTGTTTATCTATATATAGCTTGTTTTTTTTACTAAAATAACTTATTTTTTTTTTTTTTAAGCAGTCACGCTAGTGCTTTATTTAAAATTTTTGAAATTACTACTGCAATTACATAAATATATTTAACAACTAAGCCTAGCATCATCTGGTTACCCTAATGGCGCCTAAGTGCAATCTGCTACATTACTTCTAGCAGAAGTAAGCTGTTTGTTTGACTACTTAAAGTCTGTAATGAAAGGATCTTCCTCTTTTCATGACAAGCTTGTTAATTGTCTTCTTAACTTTTTCTTTAATTTGTTTTTTTTTTCTTTTGCTTTCTTCTTTCTCTCTTTTATCTCTTGTTAACTGGTCTTTCTTTTTCTCTTTTGTTTTTTTTTTTTTCTCTACTTATTATTCTTTTTTCTTTTTTCTATGTGTTGATCTTTTTACAGCATATTCTTTAGACTTATTTATAAAATATGTTTCATACTGTTTCTGTTACTATGTTCATGAATTATTGTCTTCTTTTTGTACTCAAAATTTCACAGGTCAAATAAATGAATAAAGAGTGAATAATAGGTAAATAACAGAAAAAAAACCATCATTATTCTATCCTATATCTGTCAAATAATGGCAACATAACAACAGCATAACAACAAAATAATAATAAAATAACAGGAGGTTTGTCAATATGAATAACATAATAGTAACATAATAGCAAAATAATAGAACAGTTCTATTATTTTGCTTTTAGTTACAAAGATTAAAAGTAAAATAATAGAACTGTTCTATTATTTTGTTATTATATTACTATTATATTATTCATATTGACAAACCTTCTGTTATTTTACTGTTATTTTACTATTATGTTGTTATTATTTGGCAAATATAAGATAAAATAATAATAGTTTTTTTTTTCTGTTATTTATCTATTATTTACACTTTATTTATTCATTCAACCTATATTTGTGATAATCTGTCTTAAATTGATTTTGAAATTAGTCTTTGATTAGTGTTTTCCTTATTTCTATTTCATTTCTTTTTGTTTTTTCAAAAAATACCTTATATAATATATAAAATAAGCTTCGATACACATTCTCTCCAATGATCACTTGGACACAAAACCAGTGAAAAAAAGAAATCAACTTTCTGCACTAATAGCAATAGATAACACTCTTGACAACACTAAGAAAAAGTAACAGAAACAAAGAAAGCAACAAATAAGCTTAGAAGCAAAAAGCACTGCAAATGTTAATAAGATAGCTATAGAAGAAAACCAA